GCAGTCCCTCAGCTTGCCCACCAGAATTGGGTGGGACACTGTGTTGAAGGCCTTCTGGAAGTCCAAAAAGATGACATCGACTTCCTCCTTCCCATCTAGCTCTTTGTGACCTGGCATGGCAACTTTTTGTTATTTTACTTCTGCCAACAAGTTCTTTTCCAATAGTGCACGAGATCTCTAAACAGTTTTTTTTGTTTTGTTTGTTTTTTGAAGCTGTTTGCATTGGATCATTAAAAACATCTTTGCTTCATTGATTCCCTGTAGCAGAGTTATTTGCAAATTATGCTGCTGTAAGTACTGAAAAATCCTGGAAATCTTGCTGTCTTGGCTGGATTCCAAAATGGAAAATTATCTTCTACGTACCAAAAAGACATTCTGTAGTTTCCTTGAAGTTAATCTCTACTTTTTGTCTAACTTGGCGTGTTTGCGCAAGATGTTTACTGTGGAGCTACCCAATTAGCTCTGCAGTAAACAATTCAGCATCTTCACATGCAGCCCTATTAGCCACACGAAATTAATAAACTCCGCAGCAGGATACGACTTGTAAACACAAGTCCTATCCTGCTGCAGAGTTTTTTCTTGTGCAGCAGTGCATGTGTAGATGCTGACAGAGCTGGCTGGGGCACAAGGGTGCTTCAGTACGGTGGGCTGCCTGTCAGCCAGCCCCTTCGCAGCACTTTGAGCCAAGTTGGAACAGCCCTGGGTTGGAACATGTTGTCTACATATTAAATGTTAAGTTGTACTTCTAAAAACCTGGATTTACCTCTGTGCTGTACTCATGACCACTATTGAGAAGCACATACTGCCCATTCACTCCCATTCAGCATGTGCCAAATCCTAGAAAAAAAGTAGCCTTAAAGCAGCTTTGAGCATATACCTAACACCTCTTTGCCTCAAGTACACTTCTTGGTGCATGCTGATGGCTGCTCTGAGGCACTGACACTGCCCCATTTGTGGGATTTGGCACATGCCAAGAGCAATTGAGTGACTGGGGAGGTGCTTCTCAGTGGTGGTGTTAAGCATGGCTGAGAGGTGATATAGAGAGGCCCAGTAGCTACAGAAAACATCACCAGATCCTGATTTCTGTATCATCTGTCATAAAGCATGCCCCAAAATGAGAATAGCTCTGGTTCTCTCAACCCACAGTTTTTGGGTGGACAGATGCTGCGTCAGGAATTTGAAATAATTAATCTTAGGCTTTTTTCTCAATTAAGTTCACTGATGAGTATGTTGTTCTTTTCCTATTAGCCTGAAGGCTCATTATTCATCACTACACTCAGCAAAACACAATTGTCCTATGTCCTGGGGATAGTAGTCGCAGAAAAAATAATGGGCATTGTGCCAGATGGTACTCACGACTGGGAGAAGTTTATTACACCTGAAGAGTTGGAGCGCCTGTTAGAATCAAGTAAGTGTCAGAGACATATTGCAGGTGTACTGCAAATGTTACTGTTGATAATGGCAGTTAGTTGGGAGCTGTATAGCCAAACATGTTTAGTAATGCAAATAGAACTTTTCCACATCTAGGTTATCAGTTCATTTTTGGCCATGGTTATGCATAGTTTAAAGCTTGTTCACACCTGATAGCTTCTCAGCCAGCTATACATAATTAAATGGGTCTTGTTCAGTGACAACAGTAGACAAAATAATTATCACAATGAGGCCTCTTTTTATGGTCTAAGCAAAGAGGCAAAGAAATTTGCATCCTGTTGTGATGTTTCATTTCTCAGAGGTGTTTCCTGTAAATCAGGATTGAGATGCTTAATCTGTCAGCATTCAGCAGCAACACTGTTGCTTCACTGAATGACACCTTTGTGTAAGCAGAGGGATTTTTGTCTGTGTGACTGTCACTCACAGCACCTGTTATTAGCCTTGCATTCATTCCAAGTCTTCACTTAAAAGAAGTCTGAAGCAGACAGCTTGATTTTTTAAGTAAAGCTTGAAAGAGTACATCATCATGATCAGATCAAACCCTCTCTAGTTGTTCCAATAATTGGTTTAAAAGATTCTGTACTGAGGTGTTGGAGTTTTTATTTTGTTTCTTTCTGCCAGCCACTTTTTGTCTCCAGATAATTTGAAGTGCATGGTGGTGTGTGGGGCTTTCTTTTTGTGTGGTTTCTTTTGGCTTTTTTAAACTCGCATGAATCTCGCTGTAAACAAGGTAATGCATGAACTTGGCTCTATTCTGTATAGGTTTTTCTGCTTTCATCCATGTAATACCCGAATGTCTCCTCATAATGCCTTAAGCAACATGACTGTGCCACATTTGTTCTCTCATCCTTTCCCCAAGGAAAGCAGCATGTGCCATGGAATGTCTTATTATGATAAGGTTTTTATGTGTTTTATTTTGTCTTCTATTACAAATTGTGTTGGGATGATATAGCAGCAGACAGTGAGTCAGAGAGAGGAGGATGGGATCATTGCATTACTTCTATTCATTAGATTTATGTGCTGCCCTCCCCAAGAAGGCCTAGGACACTTACAGTAAAAGTTAAAAACAATTTACTGGTTGTGAAACAACAGCAGACCTAAGAGGTAGTCTCTCAGATTCCTTGATCTAAATTCTTTTTTACCTCTTTTTTTTTTTTAAATTTAAAGGTGAACCTTTTTCATATACTTTAATCAGTCTGTTGGTTTGGGAGTGACCAGTTTCTGAAATATTTGGCCAATTATGTAGCCTCCCAGTTGTACAGTAGTGTTGCTCTAAACAAATGCACTTTCTTGTACTGAACTTAGTTTTGAATCTGATCTATATGTATTTTTTATAGATGGCTTTTTAGTTAAGGCAGTGAATGGAATGTTGTACAACCCCTTCTCAGGGTCCTGGAGTTGGATTGAAAGTACTAGCATTAACTATGCATTGCATGCCGTGAAATCTAAGGCACAAGAACAGTCAAGTTCAAGAGAGCCACTTTCAGAGGCAGAAGAGGAGCAGCACCAAGCCAGAGCTAATACCAGCACAACTATCTAAAGCATATGCTGGTAAAGCCTACAATGGGAAGATTGGCATAGACATCTGTAATCAAACTATCTGGAGCAACACATCTACTTGTTTGCATTACTTGTAGTTAAGCTGTTTTTTGCCAGTGTGTTTCAGAACAATTTTTCATTGTCTCAGGAATCACGTGGATTTTAAAATGAACAAAAATCTTAGAAAAGACTTGTTTTCAAGGGGAAAAAATGCAAACCTAGCAGTATTTGTTACAGGGCTCATACATGCGATGGTTTTTAGAGTCCTTTCTCAAAAAGTTCAGAGGCTAAAGAATAACAGCTAACTGCTGGATTTTGTTTGGAGTGGCTTTTTAAAACGAAATGCTGAAGTGTGGTAATTAGAATAATTAAAATAAAAATGTTTAAATCACTCAAGTATACTGCTCTAAGACTTGTGGCTAAGTATAAACAATTTAAAGAACCAAAACAGCAACTTTCCTTTTTCTGATTGTGATCCCCATAAGGAGAAATGTAAGGACAGATGACTCCTTTGTGCTATAGTTGAGCCTTCTATGGCTAGTTGTGCTAGTTCTGCAGGTAGTCAAACCACACTTAAGAATTTGGTCTCTTATTGTCGATCCTTTGCACCTCACAAAAGTGGAAGCTGTCATCAGCGTTTCTAGCAAAAAATGTATTATGACCTGTCATGGGCCAGAGTCAGTTTGGTCACACCTGTGCTCCACTTAATGGTTGCAAAGAAGTTGGTGACCTGGATGCTAGGCCCTCTTTAGTCTGAAGGGATTCAAATCCACATCTCCAAACTCCCCAGGGAGTTATCTATGGACCATATACATATAGAATAGTTGGGAGACGGTGAACTGTCCACTCCACTTGCTGAAGCCAGGCCACTGCGCAACCAAAAATTCAAGAGTCGTGGCACAGAAAGAGAAGGAGGCATCACTGATTTTTAAAATGACAGTGCTGTGTATACTGATGACCTCAATGGACACGTCCAGACGAGCGCGCACGTGCCTCTTGCCCCATCTCAAACCCCTTTGAGATGGGGCAAGAGACATGTGCAGGAATGAAAAAATGTTCCCTGCACTGCAAACTCGCAGCACGGGGAGAAAAAATTGGAGACCTGGATAGCCACTTGCATGGTCAAACTACAGTCTTCCTGCCCAAAATTAATTTAGGCACCCAGGGCATTTTCTAATTGCTAGAACTACATTTGGGATCACTCTTTGAAACCGTAGCAGAATTCAGGCCCTTAAGTTCCATTTAGGTTACAAAACCAGTCCAGACTTGTGCTGGAAATTTAAGTCCTATTTATTGCCACAGTCTCTCATCTAAGCTACAGTCCTGATGGAATGTATGCAGAGTGCTGATCTATTCTGAAATGCAGTTTTCTAAATAAAATGATATTGCACAGGCCTGTTTTCCTGTCTGTTTACAAGTAAAAAGAAAAATAATTGTTTTCCTAACTGTCAACTTGGAAACTCAGACACTTCCTACGCCACATCGTCTGTTGTTAACTATATATACAATTCATAAATAGTCTATTAAACTTTTCTAATAATTATTGTTTCAAGCCTGTAACTTTATTTTATCTGTTGCATCTGTCTCTTTAAGATATCTGGTTTTGACTTAAAGTCTGTGACCACCATTCTGTGCTCTTAAGTGCTTCAGCATAACCAAATGCTTCTCAACCTGGAAGGACGTGGGCAGTGGGGTTCCGCAGGGCTCGGTCCTCGGGCCCACACTGTTCAACATCTTCATCAGTGACTTGGACGAGGGGGTAAAAAGCACCCTGTTCAAATTTGCTGATGACACTAAGATGTGGGGGGATGTGGGCACACTAGAAGGAAGCAACAGGCTACAATCAGACCTAGACAGGTTACAAGGGTGGGCGGATG